ATTCTCCCTGTCATATGTGCCTCCTGGAGCAGCCTGGTGTGAAGCACTGTGGAAGCAGCCGAGGTGAAAATGGTAAAAAATGCATAATAGGCACCAAAAGGAAATAGTAGGTTTGAGAGTCAGCAGTCCCAGCTGGGCTCTTGGACCCCTGCACTGCCAGGTTGTCCTGTTGTGCTCAGCTGCCCCACACTGGCTTTCCTGTGGCAGGTGAGTTGGAAAAGAAGGATTTTAACGTGAGAGGGGGAGGGGAAAAATCAGTTTCACAAAATCCACGAGCTTTTGGTCTGCACTTATGTAAAGATTATATCAAAGACAGTGGAATTTCTTGGGTTTCTAAGAGGCAAGTGTCCCAACTTGAGGAATTTCCCCTATTTGCAGGTATTTTTTCACTATCAATGAACAAAAGGCTGAGCGTGGAGTGACTTGATGTTTTTTAGTGCTATGCTGAGAGCAAGGTGCAAGGAGCACCATCAGGTGAGATGGGTCAGGCCCCCAGTGTCCCATCCCTGAGCATCCTTCAGCTCGGTCGGTGGTGGCTCCCGGAGGAGCCTCCTCTGCTGTGCCAGCGGGGGGAGCTGTGTGTGTAGGAATGGCTGTGCTTCCCAGCCATCAGCCTGCTTTGAATAACGGCAGGTTAGTAGTCAGTAACCACCGTTCTCATCAGGTTAGAGAAAACAGATCGTTTCCTGCCTTTCTGCCTTTTCCTCATGGTCACTTTCTGTTACTGTTATTTCTTCCTGGTATTTTCCAGTTGTGCTGCAGTGTGAGCTCTCAGGTTTTGGAAGCTTTCAGGAGGTGCTGAAATTACTCTCATTGTTTGTCTACAGATAATCTTAAAAACTAGAAATGTAGGCAAACCCATAGCGTGGCTTTGACTGCTTTAAGAATCCTGACCAGTTAAAGGTGAGGATAAATACCTCTCATAGGCACACTGAGTGTAGAGTTGTCTTAAAGTCTTTTCCAATTCCTTTTAGGACACGAGCAGAGCATTATGTAAATGTACTCACTGTTAGAAAAGAGAGCAATTGACACTGAGAAATATTTTAAATTGTTGACATCCAAGGTGAATGTGAGAAAAATGGAATTATCCCCCATAGCTCTTGTGAGATCTTTTATACTGTCCCATGCAGTGCAGAGAAGCTGGGACAGTTCCAAGTGTGAACAGTTTCACTGGCTGTTGCTCACAAGTCCTGTCTCCCCTTTGGAAATAGACAGAAAATTTGACAAAAGAAGTGCAGAGAGAGGGATGTGGCAGGAGGGAAAAGTGATGGTGCTTTTTGTGGAGTTCAGCTGGCAAGTTTTCAGCTCTGGGTCATGACTTCTGGCTGATTCAGCACTGGGAAACATGGGCTGTGACAAAGATCAAGAGGGCTTTGGGTGCTGGTTTTTTCTGTGCCCTCAAAACACCAGATTGGGGTGCAAAGTTTTTTACGAAGTACATTTGTGGTCCTGAGCAAATCATGTTATTGATTTCAAATATATTCTGTGTTTTCAGAACATGATGTACTTTAGGGGGCTCAGTGCCACTGAAAGCTGGCAGAGCATGGCTGTGATGTGCCTGGCACTGTGATCCGTGCTGGGTTTGAGCTGGGGGCAGGATTCCCTCTGGGCTGTAGCAATGGAAATGGGGCTATTGCAGCCTCTTCCCTTCCTCCACTCTAAAGCATTGAATGCACGTTCAGTGCTGTGACCAAATCTCTGCAATTACACCTACATGTGAATGACAGGATGTGATGACAGCCCACGGGGTGACGGGCTGTCTCTGTGAGGGTGGCTCTTTGGTGGCTGGGCAGGGCTTGGGTGGACTGTGGTGCCAGGGCCACCCTTTGGTCCTTACACCACCACAGGGTCACTTGGTTTGTTTGAGAGGAATAAATGGCTCTGGCACCTGATACAACAGGGGCACCCTCGGTGGGCACCTGATAGCAGCTATAAAAGTGTCTGCTCCCACTCCATCCCTCGTAAAACCTCCTTCAGCCTTAATTCAAATCCATTGATTCCTATTCCAGTTAAACCTGGAGAACTTAATTTGCCTTTTAATCCTTTTATTGTAAGCTAGGATAAAATTAATTTTACTCAAGAACTGTGCAAAGCCAATTAACATGATCTTTAGAGTTATTTAGTAAAGTGCTTCAAACTGTTAAATTTCTCCTGACCTCATGGCTGCACTCTCTGACTGCTTTTTAAATGAAATAATCAATATCTCCCTACCTTTTAAAGAATTTAAACTTCTGAAATACTTTACCTGTATTTTAAACACTTCATAAATGTGCTTCATGCAATCTGTAAAGCTGTCTCCTCTAAGCAGCTGGGGATGTTTAGTTCTCAAAGACTGAGATAAGCTGGAATATTGAATATGGTCGTTTTGTCTGTAGAAAACCCAGCAGGGTAAATGCACAGAGAAGATGAGTTTCTCTGTTGGTGTGTGGATCCAGAAGTGTGTTATTTTTACAACTAAAATGTAGAAGGTTTTTGTCCTTTCACCAGTGTAGCTCCTGTTTTCCACGCAGAGCTATTTGGGGTTATTAATTTTCTGACTGTGATAGGGTGATCAACCGTCCTGCCAGGAAAATGGATCTCTGTGTCACCCTTTAGCATGATTAACTGGAGGCACGTTGCTGGGAGAAAATACCAGATTTTCATGAGACAAATGAAACTGTAGGAAGGACTGCTCTTAGAGACGTGATCTCAGCTTCAAATCCCCCAAATGGCTGCCAGTTGATTTGGAGGAAATCGTGGCAACTCGTCGTGTGACTCCACTAGTAATTAAAAGGATGTAAAGGCAAGAACATGCAAGGGGTTTATTTTCCCCTCTTCTCAAGGGATGCTGGGGAAGGGTGTTGCTGGGGGGGAAGGTTTGGGATTGCGTTGATCTGAAGCTTTTTGCTTTGGGTTGGGGTTTTTTTGGTAGTTCCTTGAGTTAGTTTTTTTTTCAGGTAGAAAACCCTGGGCTGCAGCAGTGGGGTGAGGGCTGTCACAGGCCAGGCTGCTCATGGAACAGGGAGCATTTCCCACCCTGTTCTGCTTGGAATTTAATGTTTGGCTAACAAAGAGTTGTCTCCTTGACATCTGGGTGCTGGGGTCGCGGGGTCAGCCGAGGAATGAGGTTCTGCTGGGAGCCATCCCGCTGGATCGTGGATGGATTGTGGCCCCCTGGGACGGTCAGGGGGCTGTGCAGGGACCGGCCACGGTCTCTGGGGGGTCCTGTGATGCCCCCCAGTTCAGGGTTTGCTGGTTGAAGTGGGGATCTGAAGTCCCATTGAAGCCGGTTCCAAGGATGCTCAGCAATCCCTGGGCCGGGATCCGCTGAAGGGTTAACTTCGTGTTGCTGTCATCGAATGAGAGGCGGGCGGGGGAGATGCAGCGAGTGCCCCAGCGGTTTAATTTCGTTTAATTTCTTCCTGGAAGCAGCACATGTGTTGGCTCTTCCTTTCTCCCCGGCCCAGGAGCTGCGGCCCGAGGGCCTGCCGCCGGCGCGGCGGGGTCAGCGCCGACCCCGTTGATCCGCATCCCGGGCCCCGTTGATCCGCATCCCGGCCCCTTGATCCGCATCCCGGTCCTGCTCCCGCAGCTGCTCCGCGCCCCCCGCACCGTGGGCACCCATCACTGGGGCTGTGCTCAGCCGGGCACAGGGAGAGGGAACTAAATGAAATGGTATCAAACAACCTCGGCTCGCGCAGATGTGTCCGAGGCAGGGGCAGACGAGCGCTGAACGGTTACAACTGGGGTATTTTTTGCTTTGTCTCTCAGAGCCCGTTCTCATCCTTCTTCCTCTGAAGGCGGTTCCTATTGATTTTGTTTGTTCTTTCCTTGTGTTTTTCCCTCCCCTGCCGTTGCTGAGCTCCCCCTTGCCCTGTCCCTCAGGGCTGGCACTTCCCTGGAGCCACAGCGGGGCTGCCCGGGCAGGGATCAATCTCCAAGGTGGCATAAAAAATCTGGGGAGCTTTCCTGTAGGAAACATTCCCTTTCCTATGGAGCCATGGGAATGTCATTAGCAGGGAGAGACCTACCGTGCACATCACTAATGCACCCTGCCTTGAGCCCGGGGCCCAAGAGTCTAACTCGGGGCCAGGTGGTGCCTCCTGACTCCTCAGCACGGAGAACGTGCGGTAACAAGAGCTCAGGCTTTTGGGATTTTTTGGAATATATGGGAGGGCAATTCCCAGCACGCTGAGAATTGGGATTAGAGGTAAAAACAAACCCTACTGGTCAGGGTAACTGAATGCAGTGTTTTCATCCCAGTCAGTTTCTTCTAAGAGTTGATTTCTTTACTCCAAAAAACCCAGACAAACCAAACTTCATCTGCTTAGTGAAATTCAACACCCCTGGGCTGTGTTGGACTAACAATGTGCATTTCTGTTTGGGTTAAAATGGATGATACAGGAGGTTTTGTCACTGTTTTTAAGAATGTTTATTTAAATGCCCTATATAACATCTCAGTGTACAAAGATACTAGTTTGGTTTAATAGCATTTACTGGCAGCTCAAATCTAGTAAGTATCTGAATGTGGTGGTGGTTCCTAAACCAAAATGATACTTCTGTGTAATACAAGTAAGTTATCCTAAAAACCTGTATTTTTTAAATTACAATTTCTCATGTGAATTTAAACTACCGAGAAGCAAACCACAAACCCCCTCTCACAAAATGCAGGCAGAGAATCTCACAGATCTTTTATCAACCAAACGGGTAAAACCCTGAAATTAGAGGGTTTTCTGGTGGCTCTTTTTTGCTCTGATTTCTTGTCAGTTTCTGGAGGTGGGTGTTGTTGAGGACACACCTTGCAATGTTTAGACTTTGACAGTGCGTTGTAGGTTCTGAGAAGTAAAATGGGATCATCTCCAGCAGCCAGAGCTCCTGGAAGAGGCAGCAACAGCCCTTAAGACCCGGCTTAGCTTACATGGAAACCTCCTGCACGCCCTCTTGGAAGCACGGTGTTGTTTGGAGCAGAAAGAGCCATCCCTGCTTTTGACTCTTCTCCTGTTTCTCGCTTGTGGTTTCAGGCTGCCTGCCGGGCCTCCCTCAGCTGAAGAAGAGCTCCACGTCCTACGAGGAGAGGAGGAAGCAGGCCACGGCCATCGTCCTGCTGGGCGTCATTGGGGCCGAGTTCGGCGCGGAGATTGAGCCGCCCAAGCTGCTGACCCGGCCGCGCAGCTCCAGCCAGATCCCCGAGGGCTTTGGCTTGACGAGTGGTGGATCAAATTATTCCTTGGCAAGGCACACGTGTGAGTAACCCGGGAGGCTCTTTCTCCCTCGCTCTGGTGGCTGGGGCAGGAAGGGGTGGTGTTTCCATCTCACTACCAACCGGTTCCTTTAAAATATCCTTTCACTGGGGAAGGTGGAGGTTAGTGATGCTGAAGGTGCAGTTGGTCACAGCAGAAGAAGAGGTTACCAAGAACTGGCAACTGGGCTGGGCTTGGCAGTGGTGCCAAGGAGGCAGCCACCGTGGGGGAGAGCCAGCGTGGTGTGTTCTGGCATCAGCCAGCTCTTCTGCTGAGGTCCTGACACCCTGTGTCCTCCTCCAGCTCAACCCAAATTTTGCAGAAAAATGTTACATTTTTACAGAATCACCAAGGCTGGAAAAGACCTTTAAGATCATCAAGTCCATCCTATGACCAACACCACCACATCTCCAGACCACAGCACTAAGTGCCACATCCAGCCAGGGTTTCCTCAGTGGCAAGAGGAAAACTGAGGGAGGAGAGTGAGGGAGCAGAGAATGCTAACAGGCTTTGGGGAAAATTATTTGAGGGTTTTAGGAGTTTTAGGATTCTTCTGGATTTGTATTTGGTAGGTCTTGAAGTATTCTGAAGCTATGTTTTTTGAGATGGTCAAAATTGGGGAAGTCTTTGGGAATGTCCACAAGATGGACCCGACTGAAACTGCCTGCTGGGGGTTACCCAGAGTAAGGGGAGGAATTGCACCTAACCCAAAGCCACCCTATTTTCTATTTCAAAATAAGTTATCCAAGTGAATGGCTTCTTCATGTATACCATTAATGCATAGAGTGTTTGCTGTATGAATTGGGCATATTGTGATTTACTGTGGTTAAGAAAATAATAACTGTGACCCTTTTTGAGAGGGTGGAATTCTCTAGAAACCCAGGCAGTGACCTTGCCTGACATCCTGCATTAATCTCTGTTGACCTTACAAATAGTTCATGAGATATTTAATTATAAAATGCCACCCAAAGAATTTCTCATTACAGATGCACCACATCACACCTAAACTGCAGCTTAATGCTGTGTTTATAAAGTTAATGGGCTGATAAATCTGAGTGACTGCTCTGTCCTGAATATGAAAATACTTGTTCCTGTTGTTACTGCAGTGTATTTTTCAAAGCATCTGCCACCAATATAGTTATTAATGATAAGTGTTTTGCCCTTTAGCTCGGTGTCATATGCAGTAGCATGTTCCCAGCACTGGGTTATTCAAATGGATCCTGCAGGCTCCCTGTACAGACCTCCTTCCAAATCCCAGGGTCTCCATGTTATGTGGCCAGGGGCAGTCCCTCCAGTGCTGCTGGTTTCTGGATTCAGTCCACCAGGCAGTGGGTTGGTTCCTCACGAAACCATTTTCCTCCTTTTTTATTACAATGTCCCAAATTCCTGGCAGCTGACCTGCCTGCCTGTCGGGCAGCAGGGGAAGCAAGTGAAATTTCTGGACAGAAATGGCAATGAGCATGTCTAGATAATTGTTTGGGGTCATGCTGCCTGGTGTGAAGACACTTCTTCTGTCAGGTCTGTGACACCTCTGAGCAGTCACCTTGAGGCTGCCCAGCCCTGGCTGTGGGAACCCTCAGCCAAAGCAGTGAGGTCATTAGGGTGAAGCAAATACAGCGTCAGTGACACTGGGAGTTGAGCACACGCATGTTTGAAGCAGGGCATTGCTGTTGAGAAGCAGCCTTGGTGTTGGGGCTGTGCCCACCTGGTGTCCCTGCCCTCCCCAGGGTGCTGCCACCCGAGGGTGGGACAGCCCTGGCACAGCTGGGGGAGCAGGGCTGGAAGGGCAGGGGGGGTAACTGGTGTGTGATGGGGCTCATGGGGCAGATCTGTAGCACAGGGCCCTTGCCCTACCAAGTGAATGAGATATTGCATGTGTTATTTTCCTCAGTTTGGGCTTTTTGCTTTTTTGTGTGATTTACTGCCCAATATGCAGGGTTCACTACTCAGTATCTGCTGCAAGTCTCATCCCTGCAGCCTAGGGATGCCTTTTCCAAGCAGTGTATTTATCTTCTCAATATTTCTCTTGCTTCTGGAGCTGTGTCTGTGTTAGAGATTTACCTGTCAAGGTGCACTGTGGCTTTGCAATCCATTTTTATGCTGCTGGAGGCACAGATGGAGTGAGCAAGCACAGGATGACTTCGGGTGTGAAGTTTGTTAGGTTGGGGTTTCACAGAATCACAGACTTGTTTGGGTTGGATAGGACTTTAAAGATAATCTAGATCCAACCCCCTGCATGGGCAGGGACACCTCCCACCTGCCCAGGTTGCTCCAAGCTCCATCCAACCTGCCCTTCAACACTGCCAGGGATGGGGCAGCCACAGCTTCCCTGGGCAACCTGGGCCAGGCTCTTACCACCCTCACACCAAAGAATTTCCTCCTCATGTCCATCCTCAATCTCCCCTCTCCCAGCTTTAATCCACCCCCCTCATCCCATCCCTCCCTGCCCTTGTCCCAAGCCCCTTCCCAGCTTTTCTGGAGCCCCTTCAGGCACTGGAAGCTGCTCTAAGGTCTCCCTGGAGCCTTCTCTTCTCCAGGCTGAACACCCCCACTCTCCCAGCCTGGCTCCAGAGCAGAGCTGCTCCAGCCCTCGGATCATCTTTGTGGCCTCCTGGACTCTCCAACAGCTCCATGTCCTTCTGGTGTCAGAGGCTCCAGAGCTGGACACAGTTCTCCAGGTGGGGTCTCACAGGAGCAGAGCAGGGGGGGAGAATCACCTCCCTGGCCCTGCTGGCCATGCTGCTTTTGATGCAGCCCAGGACATGGCTTTCTGGTCTGCAATTCTTGTGTTACTATAATGTGAAATACATCACTATAATAAAGAAATACATCTTTCATATATTCCCAAAGTCATTTCATCTGAAACCAGAATTTAGCACGAGATGAACGTGAGGCTCTGGCTGAACACGGGATGTTTTGCTCCATCAGCTGCCCTGTAACCTTTTAAAAGTCTTTTCATCCAGTAGTTCTGTATTGTGAAAATATTTAAGCCACCACTCCAGCAAGGGGACAGCCCTGGGAGGAGGAAGAGGAGGAGGTTGCTCCCCACTAATTCTATGCACCTTGAGAGGAGCTGATTGGCTGGGCAGGCAGCAGCAATTAATCCAGCCAAGTGCCTGGGATCAGCCCTTCCCAGAGCCATAAATCAGAGGAGCACCTGAGCAGCAGCCCTTCAGAGCACATTAAGCACACGGGCTCAGGAACTTAATTTAACCCAAGAGCAGAGCCACAGCAGTGTGGCAGAAGCAGGGGACAAGTTTATTGTCCCCACCAGCCCAGGGAAATGTGTTTCTCTGCCAGGACTGTAGGAAGCCCCTCAGGCTTGGGTGGATCCCCTGGTTGGTGACCTGGTGCCTTTATTGGGGTCTGCACGTTTCAGTCAGCTGTGAAATCCACTCTGCTAGTGAGTCTAAAGAGTGTTGTGGGTTTTCTCCTGAGTTGGTGTGATTAGATCAGTGTCTCAGGCAGAATTTTGTCCCTGAAGGAAAAAAAAAAAAGGGAAAAATAGTGTTTTATGAAAATTTATATCTTAGCCTTAGAGATTATAATTAGAAAAAAGTCTGTATGGTAGGAAACAGTCAACCTTTGTGGCAGATGTTATGCCCTAATTTAAATCTCTTTGTGGCTTTAGCAACAACATCAAATCTTAGAAATGAAATTCACCTTTTCTCCCCAAATCCTATAGAAGGTGAGTTGATTGGAGTTCTGTATTTTTAATCAGAGACTTCAGCCCTGCATATTTAACATCCTGCCTGTTGTAATGGGCTGTATCTCCGTGAACTAAAACCTCTCCTCCTTGTGTTTGGACTCTGGGGAAGGCTCAGCACCAAACAAGTCCCTGCCAGACACATTCTCCACTGGTCCATACACCTCCCTTAGTGAAGGCTCCACTCAGAGCCTTGACAGCCTCTTTGAGGTAATAAACATTCAAGATAGTGTATTTTTCCTTCCAGTCTCAGCTGTCCAGAGCCCTTCGCAGACCAACCCTGGTCATTGGCCAGGAGGGGGGTCAGACCTACAGGAGTCTGTGTGTTTGCCCTCCTCTGAAACAGCACCCTGGAGATCCCTCAGCAGTGGCCTGTGGCTCTGGGCACTGGGCAACCTGCGGGGGTTGCTGAGGTGCCACCCCATGGCAGTGGCAGCTGGCAACCACTTGTCACCTCCTCCCCAGCTCCCAGGGGACTGGCCTGAGCGACTGGCCTTGCCTATGAGCGTTGGAATCTTTAAACACAGTCTCTGTAATAGCTCTTTCTGCATTTAGGTGGGAATTTTGGAAGAATATCTGTTAAGTTTTTTGTCTCTACAGATATTTTGCTCTTTTTTCATTAAGCTAATTGTCAGAGAAGCAGAACTGATGCTGCCAGTGCTGTGCATATCCTAGGTTTCCTTTGCTGTGCTTGACATGGCTGATACCTGCTCTGTGGTGTTTGACACGGCAGGTGAACTGCAGTTAAATGTTAAACAACCAGTGTTTGGGGGCTCCATTCCATTATCTACATGCAACTAAAAATTATATCTTCCTGGCATGCCAAGTGGGAAAACCAGAGCTCCATGTGCTTTTTGCTGTGCAGTGTCTGCAGCCAAGAAAATAGTGCCCAAACGTTGCCAATCAATAGCTTGCATGTTTAAAAGGAACACTTCAGAACAACTTTTTATGAACTGCTGCTTCATGACAAGTCAATAAATCAGCCTGTGCTTGCCTTTGGAATGAGTGAGATGAAGAGAAACTCGGAAACTAATTAAATTCATCGTACAAATTAACATTATGCCTTCATTAGGGTTGCAGATGCCAAGCCAAGCATCCTTACCATAAAAGAATAGGAGAAGAATCAAAGTTTTACCATCTTAAAGGTAGTGTGATAGGAATAATCACCAGCCCAGGAAACACCTGTGAGGTATTGGACCTGTTCATTTTAGGAAGGAGAAATGTGGAAGAAAATACACAAGAACAATTGGCATAATGTTGCTTTTGAGGCAACCAGCAGGTGTTTGGATTTACAATG